AAAGATTTAAGAAGAAAATTGACTAAAGACGATATAGGCTTACCATCTAATTTTAGGTTGAATTTTGAATATATTGTTATTTATTTTATTTTTGATAATGCATCAAATATATACATTTAATTAGATACTTTATAGAAAAAGTTCTTGAGATTTAATCTATTATAATCAATATTTATTTTACAGGCACCTAGTGCATATGGGATGGAATGCTGAAAATAAAGGTCTAGAATTTGATACGGTTGACCCAGAGTTAAAAAAATTTTTTGATAAGGTAGGTATTTCAGAACACCACTTAAGAGATCAAGGAACGCGTGAGTTTATTTATGACTTCATTGAGTCACATGGTGGTATGAATGCTGTTAAAGAAGAAGTTATTTTACCATCAAATAAATCAAGAAATGCCAACCAACCACCTGTGTTACCACAACGTCAAGAATATCCACCACCGGTACCAGCTAGAACAATAACGGTTAGTAATAATTTAATAATTTTTGGCATACTTTCATTTTAATATATCTAATGTAAAAATTCGTATTTTTTAGCATCAGACAAGGAATGCTCCACCGTTACCTCCAACTCGACTCAATACCCCAACCGCATCACCAAATACATTATCTACTGTCCCACCAGTACATAGATCAGCACCGTCACGTCCACCACCACCCTCTGTAACTCCAGCACCCTCTCTACCACCACCACCGCCACCACCTCCTCCTTCATCCGCTCCAACACCTCCCTCAAGAAATATCTCCAGTGGTCCAGTTCCACCTCCTCCACCACTACCTAATAATTTTGATATGGATACTGCAAAAGTTAATACAAATGCAACAAATAACAATAACGAGGAAGTCACTGATCTTAGGCCAATGCTAATGGAATCTATCAGAAGTGGTGCTACATTGAGAGTAAATATATGTTTTTGAATTCATCAAATCAAGAACATTGAAAACTACAAAATTAATGATGTATTTTGTTTGATATGTTCTTAAGTAAAAACGAATTGATCTTTTTTTTGTAGAAAGTTAGTAAAACAGAAACAAAACCAGCTCCAGTTAGTGATTCTCGAAATAATTTATTAGAACAAATTCGTCAAGGAATAGAATTAAGGCCAGTTCCTAACGAAGTTAAGGCTACTCCACCACCAGTGTATCAAGATGGTTTGGCTAGTGCACTCTCTAGAGCTCTCGCTGAGCGATCTCGTGCAATCCATAGTGAAAGTGATGAGTCAACTAGCGATACGAGTGAGGAGGACGAATGGGATGATTAAGTCAAGTAAGTTATAGAATATAAAAAATCAAATATACTTGTTTATATAATGCAAATATTTTTAATTGTTATATATAATTTGATTATATATTTAATATGATCTTTTAATAAAGATACAATATATTTCAGACAAAAAATGTTTTACTGAGAAGATACAATAATATACTACTGTGATAAACATACTATGATTAACCTTTAGGAAATTAGGAATTATGTAAATGTGTATCATAAATGACTTTTACTTTGAACATCCAAAGAAGAAAAATCAGAGGTTTGAAAATGAAAACTTTTCAAATATATATATATATACTAGAATATATAAAGGCACAATAAAATTTGATTTGCACAGATGGGGCAGGTAAGGGCAGGCTGTTTTATAAATGTTATCTTTAAAATAATCAGTTTATTCAGTTCTGAAAAAAAAATAAAAATGAAATGCTATAAAAATAAAGAGATAGTGACCACATGTGATAAATATACACAGGAAATGATATTCTTTATAAGGATGCCATTATACTTATTTTGACATAGTGTTGTGGCTAAACAGATATTCTCTTGTTTATATCTCTTGTTGAAAGTTAGTACAATGTTTATATATGACTGCGTACACGTAGACTCTTTTTTTTTTTTTTTTGATGTTACCATGTATTCTTATATATTTCTTTTCTATCCTTTTTATACATATATCGCGTAGAAGTTTATATTCATTATTATTTATAAAATATTTCATATCTTCTGTAGCTTTACGAGAAATTAAATATTAAAGATAATCATTTTATTTCAACATTATTATTCAATTTAAGTAGAAACATTTTGTACGCTTATTTCTTTCTAATTTTTTTTTTTTTCTATATTTAACATTTGTCTAAATTAATTGTGAAAAGCCTAAAAAAAAGCCTTAATTTGCCCTTTCTTATGGCATTAATTCCATGTCAATGGAATTTACATAGTTAACATTTTTTTTTATTTTTTTTTTTTTATATATATATATATTTGTACATTAATAAAGAAATAAAATTACGAATATAATACATGCGTGCTATAACTATATGTAAAGATATTAAATATATTGAAAATTTGAAATTAACGCGGTATAAAAAAAGGCTTTATTGCTTCAGTATATGATTTTCATATAATTACAAAGATAATATCAAGCTTGTGAAAGAATCTTAGGATATATATATCTGCTTTTTTTTTTTTAACGATACAATAATTCACAATATTTTGCATACATGACTTAATTTTAAAAACTATGAAAATATGGTTATTAATAGGATGATGATACGTAAGTAAAAGAATACGTTTTACCCGCTATGGAGAAATCCTAGTCAGAAATAAAAAAAAAAAATAAAATAAAATAAAAAAATACTTGTTACTAATTATTATTTAGTTTGTTTTACATTATGCTGCAATATGAGATATATATATATATTGTATTGTATTTTATTTTTCTTCTTTTATTCACATTTTGTTTGTTTTTTTCTCGCTATAATTCCAGAACTATTTAAAAATATTGTCATATGCATGAATAGATGATTATACTACTTGGTAGTACAACATATGTATATGTATTATAAAAATAATGTTTTAGTAAGAGTTTTTTTTTTTTAAACAAATAAAATATATAAGAGGTAATCTGTGTTTCAGGACAGATTTCACTTGCGCACATAAAAGTCAAATATATAGATACCGATTATAATTAATACAAAGATGATGTAAATATGCTGTTTTTCTTATATCTATATATATATATATATATATAAAATTATTAATAATATTATTATTTTCTTTTAAATATCAAAGAAAGAAAAAAACAAGAAAATTCTTCGTCGAGTTAGTTAAAAAAAAAAAAATTATCTAAAACGTCAAGTATAATAAAATCAAATTCTATTACAAATGTTTGTTAACACGATATTGTACAAATTAATATTATTGTAAATTCGTGTTAATTAGAAACTTTTTTTTGTTTTTTAATCATTTATTTGGTAATAACATTAGTGCTATAAATTAAAAGATACTTTATTAATACTAAGTACATAATTTTTATTTCTAATAATATTTATGACTTAACATATCAATGGTTAATATGCAATTAAACTGTTATTATTACATGCCTTAAATCAAAAACATTAAATGGAATATTATATTGTTATCACAAAGGTATGCAACACATAAATAAATCAGTGTAGCGATTATTATAAAGATCGTATCATTCTGAGAAAAATAAACAAAACAAAAAAAAAATAAAAAAACTAAGGAGAAAAAGACAGACAATGATATGATAAAAAAAAAAAATGATATATACAAAAAGATATAATATTAAATAATAACGTATAATGTATTTAAATAATTCCTTACTATGAATAAAATATTAGGCGGTACAAATAATTTAATGATATATCTTCTATACAAGATAAATTATAATTACTTCATACTTCATGTTTGCATTTTTTGTTTTCTTTTTTTTTAAGTATTAAAAATAAAGTATATTTAATATTACTCAATATTATATATTAAAATGTATAGTTTAATCTATAAGTGCAGGGTGTAATATCAACGATAATTTAATGTTTGTACTCGACAAAGTTCTTAAAATACATTAATGAGTTTTTGTTTTTTTTTTTTTAATTTTTCATTTAAACTAATTTTTTCATGGCTTATTTTTTTTTTTTTTTGGAGACGAAATACATTTTAACAAAAAGAACCTTCTCATTGAAAACTTATTACGATCATATAATATGAATATAAAATGATACTTATGAAGTATTCTTCAACGATGAAATATATATATATATATTTATTTTCAGTATTTCATATTTAAAGCTTAACACTTAGCCGACCGCACGTGCTACAGAGACCTGTACAATTTCCACCACGCTCAGGAAAGTCAAACTAAGCTGTCCACCGATCGATCGGTTAAATGTTCAAGAAAATAATTTGATGGCTGGCAGAGGGACCTTCGGAAATTCCTAACATAAAGAGCCGTAATAATGAGCAATAAAAAACTTCAAAAATTTGGGGCATTTTATTATATGTTGAACTGTATAGAGATAAGAAGGTCTATAGAGAAAGAAGCGTTCCTCAGATCAAAATGGTAGATCTACCCGATCGGTCGGACACAGACTAGCTTGGAAATGGATAGATTTACCCGATCGGTCGGCTAACTGTTAATATAACATAATAAATACATTAGACAAGTTTGTTGTTTCATGTTTATCAAAAAACTTTAAACAATGATTCTTTTAACTTTCTGTTATTAATAGGATAATACGCGCGCCTAAAAGAAAATATATATATATTTAAACTACTTAAGCGATATTGTTATTTATCTGAGTAGTTAGTTTCAATGAAATTGTAAGTGCGTTCAAATCGTCGTCGTCGTACACAATGGAAATAATAAAACAAAACAAAAATAACAACATTAGAGTATGACATGTAAATGAAAATAAATTATTCGTTTTATTGTTATGTCTTCTTGAATGAATGAATAAATGTAATGTTAAATATTAATTAATGTATTTTACAATCGCTAATAATTTTTCTATACAATCCAATTATAATATAATTATTAATAATATAATTGAAACAAAATGTCGAAATATGCAAATTATTTGTTACATTAACAATTCGTAATTCGTAAAATAATTTCAAACATGATATATTAATTATTAATTCATTATAAATATATACGAGACTCATCAAAAATATTATATAAATACTATTTATAATTTAAATTTCATATATATATATATTACCTTTGAAAAGTATTGTATTACAAACAGGGTATTAATTATGAATTAATAATAAAATGATTACTAGGAAAATCTTGTTCCGTGTAATATTGAAAATAAACATGATATATTTTCTATGAATAATATCTCTACGTAGGCATAGATACAGGTCCTGTACCATTAGGTGTAGTTATACTAAACGAAGCAATAAAAACGTTAATAATAGTTATAAGAAAAACCCCAACGACAACATAATTATTTATTTTTCGTGCATTAATAGATTTTGATTGTCCTTTGATATCGAATCTGCCTTTAAATATTAAACTTACACCAACGGCGATCTAAGGAGAATAATGAGAGAAAAAAATAGAAACTTATTTAATCACTTTATTAAGATTGCATACGAACATTATTTCATAATAAAAGCACACCGCGTGCTTATATATTATATATAATATGAAAAAAAAAAAAAAATACACTGTAGATGAAAAAAAGAATACCTGTAACAAAAGACTGATGACAATGAGAATCAAAATGACGTAGAAAGTAGGACTGTTTCGTTGATATTCAATAAGGTACCTCAACTGATTAGCATTAGCAGTAATCAACGCAACATCCATCATTCCTTGGGCTACAGTTTTCTTCGCTGCAAAAGAATTGGCAGCTCGTGCGGAATAAGCTTGCGATTTTTTGTCCGTCGTATCAACCGAGACAACAATCTCCTTAACTCCATCAATTTTTTCAACGTCATTGGCTTTATCGAATATTTCTTTATTATCTAAAGATATCTCCACTTTTTCATTATCCAATCGAGCTTTCTCCATGTTTTGTACTTCGTATGATCGATCTCCTTTGACCAATTTGTTTAATTATCAAAAAAAGGAAAAACTTTTCTTCTTATTATTGTTAGAAAAGAATGCACGAACAAGTGTGACAGGTAAGAAAAGAAAACGTTCGCGAACGGATCGATCGAGATTACTACTGAGCTTTGTTGATCAGCATTTAGATAAGCGCACGAATATATAATAACGATCTATATTCGTTCCTTTATTAAAGTGCGTAATTTAATTAACCCTTTGACTGCTAAAGACGTATATTTATGTTCTCTTTTATTTATCAATATAATACGCATAATCAATATAATAATGTATCTAGTTAATTTTCATGAATTTTACATTGTATAAAATTTTCAGGACTCCTCCTTAAGACCTCAAATTATAAGAATATACACACACACACAAAAAATCAATTTTTTGGATTAGGTGTCCTGTACATTGATGGATCCGAGTTTGAATGTGTTGCAGTCAAAGAATTAAACAATGTCCTTTCTCAATTTTCTGTCAAAAGTTTTAATGAATTGACCTGTTTTTGTTTTTTTTTTTGTTTTTAAACATTACATAAAGAATATCCGAAAAAGTCGTTTTATCAAGTAAATAAAAAGAAAAAAAAACTTGTAAAATACCCTGTATATATTCTATCGATAATAATGAAAGACTCATACTCTATCCGTATCGAAAGATCCCGTTTATCTTCCTTCTATAGACTATCTTATTATGAAAAAGTAATGTTTATAAAATAAACTTCCACTTATTATTTGCACTGAGAGAATAATAATGTACGCAACACGTTCGATGTTTAACTGTTAAGCTGTATAAATGAATCAGGTAGAGTGTAATAGGAAACAAATAGCCAGACGTTCTATCAGTTATGATATTATCATTTAAAACGGAAACATAAAGCTGTAAATACCTTATAACTAGTGTTAGAGAAAGGAAATATTATGTTATAAAGACACACTGATATACATATACATGAAAAAGTAATTCCTGTTAAAGTTCTGCTTCTACTTCCTTCAAAGATTATAAATATATATAATATTAATATATTAATTTATTATTATAATATATATAATATTAATATATTTATATATTATTAATAGTATTAATATTATAAGTAATAATATAACTATAACTAATAATTAACATTAATATAATATATATTATAATATATTATAATATAT